TTGGGAAATGATTATTTGTGGCCCAAACCTATATTTGCAAGCCCAAATATGTTTAATTTTAAACATTTGATCAAATAACCTTGAGGTTCATTGTTAGGAGGATTTGGTCTTATCAATCCTCTAATGAACCATCATAAGCTTTGGTCCAAGTGAATCATTTAAACATCGTTGATCATATGTTGTTGCCTCTAAAACTTGAAATGAATGATATACTTGACAAAAAAAGAAAATGAAACTTATTGTTGAGAAGCTTTGATTTTATTAACCTTCTAATGAGTTTTCAAATGCAAGTTTCAATATGGTCATTCAACTAACCTCTAACTTCTAATTCATTAATAATTGACCTTTACTTTGTGCTTTTACTTTATGATTTTATTTTATGCATTTACTTTTATGCACCATTTATTTTAGCATTTTCATTTCATGCAATTTTCATCTTTGCTCACTTGAGTATTTATCTTTATGTCATTTTTGTTTTGCTCCCTTGAGCTTTCATTTTCTTTTTGAAGACACTTAATAACCAACTTGAACAATAAAAAAACCTTAAGGTTACTCTGACTATTTGGTTACTATCCTTGGCATCATGGAGTGGAGTTGTGGACCTCTTAGACTTAGGATTAGAAGCCTTGATTACCCTTGGGACCTTGTGACTATGTTGTTATTTTTTCTGGAGTTCTTGGGATTTACCCTAAGATATTGGGTTGATTTTCTTTGTGTGCAGGTTATTCTGATTATGTGTTTTGTCTGTGATTGAGAATTCCTCTGTATATAGTCGTTACTCTGCCCAATGTTTGTGAAGACTTAATGCATCTGAAGCTTGGTATTCTTAAGAGGTTTAGTGTCTTTTCTTTCTTGGTTTCAATCCAAGGGATGGGAATTATACATTGACTCTTTATGTCAAGTGTTAGCTTTTTGTTGGGTAGACGGTTCTTCTCCCTAGCTTTTACCCTATGCTTTAGGATAGTCCCTTCATCTCCTCATAACTTCTTTAATTTCAAAAATCTTCTCCCTCCTTTTCAAAACTCTTCTTGTTTACTAACTTGATTCGCTTTCATAATAAACTTGGACTTAGGTTCATGCATTTTTAAAATATTTTCTTAATTAAAATTTAATCAACTTAATCATACTTTGACATTTTTTTTGTGAGAAGACTAAAAGTCAATCAACCTCGTTCAAACCATTTTGCCACTTTGGCTTTTTACTTCAAAATTTTCTCAAAAGATTATACTCTTTTCAATCCTTGTAGTGATGCGAGCTACTATACTTCTACAAGATATAGTGAAGTGAGATATTTTCCACTTGGGTGTTGAGTGAGGCTTTGTTGATTTAAAAATTCAAGCTATATCTTCCACTTTGAGATGATGCAAATTCTCTTTCCTCATAATCGTGGGTAGTAAGTATGTCTTCCACTCAGATATGACGATGATGTCTCATCTCTTAAAATTAACCAACACACTTGTGTTTTAAAATTTTTAAAGGTGAAATACGAGTACCTTGGTCCCCTATTGCATGAAAGGTGGTACGTAGGCACTAAAGGTTTGGAACCGCGGCGGGTGCAAAAATTGTAAAAAATACTTATTTTCTCATCTCCACCGTCTATTTTTGTATACAATATTTATAGCCAAAATACACAAATTTTCAAAGAGGTTCCTATGGAGTACCATAGATGTTTAGGGTGTTAATACTTTCCCTTTACATAACCAACCCCCGTACCTAGATTCTCTCCCCATCTTTTTTAGGTTATTCGCTCTTTTCACATTCCTCTAGAAACAATAAAGCATGGTGGTGATTTTTATTTGATCTGTGCGAGTTAAGTCAATCCAATGGATCAGTCTCAACATTTCTACTACTATAGATGGTGGAGATGAGTATAACTCTACAGAATTCTAGAAGTTCTGCAAGGAGAATTGAATTGAGCATGAGATTACTTCTCCCTATACTCGTCAACACAATGGTCTTGCTGAAAGAAGAAATCGTACTTTGATTGATATGACGAGAAGCATGTTGAAAGAGAAGAAGCTCCCCCACACCTTATGGGGAGAAGCCATTTCCACAGCAGCATATGTGCTCAACAGGTGTCCAACGAAGAAGCTAAAAGAAATTGTTCCTTTAGAAAAGTGGACTAGAGACAAGAAAAGTGTTAGCCACCTGAAGGTGTTTGATTATGTATGTTACAAACACATTCCAGAAGCTAGAAGACAGAAGCTGGACGATAGAATAAAAGTTATGTTACTAGGGGTACCATAGTACAAGTGGGTACAAGCTTTATTTTCCATATACTAATAAAGTTGAAGTCAACAGAGACATCATTGTAAAAGAGTCAGAAGCATAGGATTGGAGCAAGTCTCAATCCATTTCTGGTGTAGTACCAACACTAGAGGTAACTTCTAAAGATGCTTTAGAAGTTTCTGAAGATGAGTCAGAACTTGAAAGTTATGAAGAAGAGTTAGAGTCAAAATATGATTCTGGAGACTCTGAATATGAGTCAGATGGTGAATCTGATTCTGATCCAAATTCTGACGATGGTCCAGAATCTGGTGGTGGTCATGTTTCTGGAAGGGAACACTCTGAAGATGTTGGTTCTAGAGGATAAGCTTCTAGAGGTGATCATACTTCTAAAGGTAGTGGTTTTGGACTAAGTCTAGAAGCTAACGTTGTTCCAGGTTCTTTAGAAGATTCAGAACAAGTTTAAAGGCCACGAAGAATTAGACAAATACCAAGAAGGTTTGTAGAGTTTGACATGTTGCAAGACACTGAAGTAGATTCCGAAGGAGAAGTTGTTCAGTGTGCCATGTTAGTAGATTATGAACTAGTAGGTATGGAAGACACTCTCAAGAAGAAAGTATGGTTGAATGCCATGAAAGAAGAACTTGAGGCTATAGAAAGAAACAAGACTTAGGAGTTGACTTAACTTCCAAACGAGAAGAAAGCCATTAGCGTCAGATGGGTTTTCAAGGTAAAATTTAAGTCAGGTGGATCAATTGGAAAGCACAAAGCAAGGATCGTGGCTAGCGGTCTTCTTCAGAAACCTAGGCTAGATTACTTTGAGGTGTTTGCACCTATAGCGATACATGAAACAATCAGACTGGTAATTGCTATAGTTGCAAATAGAAATTGGCCTCTGATGCATCTGGATGTGAAGTCTGCATTTATGAATGGTCTCTTACAAGAAGAGGTATACGTGTCACAACGTCTTGGATTCATGAAAAAGAATCAGGAAGGGATGGTGTACAAGTTACATAAAGCCTTGTATGGATTGAAGCAAATGCCCAGAGCTTGGAACTTGAAGATTGATTCATTTTTCAAGAAGCAGGGGTTTCAGAAATGTGAGATGGAATATGGTGTTTATGTACACCATTCTGGAGGCAATATGATTCAGGTGTTCTCTACGTTGATGATATATTGCTGACAGATAGTTGTTTTAAAGAGGTAGTTAAGTTCAAGAAGATTCTGATGAATGAGTTTGAAATGACTGACCTAGGAAAGTTGGTATACTTTCTAGGGATGGAGGTATTGTACTCTAAGAAGGGTATAATTTGAATCAGTTGAAGTATGAAGTTTAGCTTCTGAAGAGATTTAACCTGCAAATTTGTAAGGCTACTGTCACACCTTCATAAACCAATCATAAATTGGATTCTGATTCTAAGGGTGAGGATGTGGATGCTACAACCTTCAAACATTTGGTAGATTCTCTAAGGTATTTGTGTAATACCAGACCTGATATTTGTTATTCAATTGGAATGCTAAGTGGGTTCATGAGTAAACGTAAGTGGTCACATTACCAAGCTGCTGTCAGGATTCTGAGGTATATCAAGGAAACTCTGAAGTATGAAGTATTATCCCCTTCTGGAAGAAAGACTAATTCAGAGCTGATGAGTTACTCAGACTCTGATTGGTGTAGAGATAGAGTTGACAGGAGAAGTACTTTTGGATACTTGTTTAATTTTTTGGGAGGTCTTATTTCTTCGTGTTCCAAGAAGAAAGATGTTGTTCCACTATCAACGTGTGAAGCTGAGTACATTACAGGTGTTGTAGCTGCATATTAAGTTGTTTGGCTTCTGAATCTACTACAGGATCTAAAGATCAAGGTAGACAAGACGCTGAAGCTGACGATCGATAACAAGTCTGCAATCGATCTTGCCAAAAACCAAGTGCTGCATGGGAGAAGCAAGCATCTTGAGACAAAGTATCATTTCTTGAGAAGTCAAGTCCAGGATGGAATATTAAAAGTTTTGAACTATAGCACCCAGAAGCAGTTGACAAATGTTTTGACAAAGGCGATCAAGACAAATCAATTTCTCCACTTAAGGGATGGAATTGGTGTTGTTAGTTTTGATTAGAAATCCTAAATTAAGGGATGATATTTAATGGTAATTTAATATTTTAGTATGTTGCTTATGTGACCCTAGTTTGTGTGTATAAATAGACTAGTAAGAGCTGTCTTTTAAACTTAATCTTTTATACTTTTGTAGCTGTCATTGCAGAGTAATAAATATATTATCTCATTCTTTATGTCTTCATCATCTTGTGCACTAACATTTAGTTTGAATATTCAATTAGGAACTTATAAAAACTAAAGAAAATGCAAGTTATCATGCCCAATAATAATAAAGTGGTTATACAACAAATTTGCATTATTTTTATTCATCCTCTTTACTGCATAATGGAGCCAAAGTTCACTTTCTCTCCAAAACACCCTTACATTTTTCACAGTTTGACTAGTTAATTTAATTTAATATCCTAATCACCCTTACATTTTGTATACTAAATTTAAACTCTTATGACAAAAATCACAAATTTATATCTTGGTGAAGATTTGGATATTGAGAATGCGTTTTTTGTTATAATTTCATATTTTAATTTTATTAGGTGTTGATAATTTTTGTGTAGGTCAAGTTCATACAAAGTTTTTCTCTGTTTTTTAAAATAGATTCTCCTACCTAATACTGATATGTCACCACTGTGGTAAATATGAACATATAAGGCCATATTATTGTGAAATGCTAAAGTTGAAGATCAGAGAACGCGAGGAAGTTCATGCTAAGAAGAAGTGGAAACCCAATGCTACATCAATTGGCTTCATAGATCATGCAGAACACAAAGGTCCCTAAAGTAAAGGTTGGTATTAGAATAGTGGAAGTACCAGACACATTGCTAGAGGTAAGATAGCCCATGGAAATATAGCAAAGGGGAGAGTCAAGGGCTTAAGAAATTTGACCAATCCTGGTCAAGGGGAGGTGATAATAAGGAAAGATTCAAAGATGAAATTCTACAAATTCAAAGGTGGTGACACTAACAAGGGTAAATAAGCTCTCATGAAGAAGGTCATATATGAGGAAGACATCTGAGATTTACAAAGTTTTAATATGGATAAAGAGAATATATATGAAAGGGAAAAGCCAAACATGATATTATAACAGATGGTCCAACATCTGTCTCAAAAGTCTGAATCATATCTTGAGAATGGTTTTGCACTTAAGCAATAAGGTATCATTGAGGAGAATATTGATGGTGAGGTTGAAGGTCCTCCGAACTTTGAAAAAACTACCTTGGTTCAGAAGAAAAAGCTGAAGAAGAATGGTGAATATAAGTCTAGAGGTATGATTAACCAAACACATGATAGGTTGTTTGGTGAAGCTGAAACTAGAGTATTGAAGTCTAGCTGCAAGATGTATATATTAGATGTCTTGTTTCACAACATTCCTCTTGATGTTAACTTTGATCAAGATACTAATGGAGACATAAGAAATCTTTATGACACTCTAATGTCTTCTAGTGAAGATTCCCAGGACCCAAATTTGAGAAATCCTTATGGTGAGAAGGATGTGGAAGACATCATATACGACATGTTGACAAAGTCTCAAGTGCATAAGGAGAATCATAATCACGTTCATGAAGATGTTGAAGTTGATATTAGTATAGTTGATGTTGATATTGTTAATAACCATGATCATGCATTAGAGGATGTGATACTCTAGGTGAATGTGTGAATGAAAACTTTTGTACTACTGATAGAAAGGAGTATAAAGTGATTTCAAAGAACACACAATCTATAAATGAGATTGCTACTCATAATGTTGAAAGTGTTGGATCAAGAAACTTTGTGATACATGCGAATGAAGATGAAGATCTTTTCTTTGCCAGCATAATTAAAAGAACCATAGAGAAATCAACCAGGAGTACTTATGAGAAGGATCATTTGGTGAAGGTGAATGAAAATATTGATAGTGTTGTCTATGGCTCTATCCTTTTAAACAATGGAGTTCATGATGGGTTTGTACAAGTTCTTAAAGACGTTGATCCCAGTCAAAATATGCAGAAGAGAAAATACATAAAATTGATAACCATTGAAAGGAAGACTCTAAGAGAAGGATTGACAATTGATAAAATTGGTCAAGTGCTGGAAAATATCAAAGATGGACGTCAATAACTTAAAGGGTGCTCATGTGGAAGACAATGAGAATGTGATAATTATCATTCATAGAGAAGACATTATGTTATGTAGAATGTCAGTCGGAATGTTAGAGCCTTTTGTTCAAATGCAATTCAAGGCTGAAGTGAGCATAATTAGAAATTTTACTAAAAATATATATTTTCATTTATCTTAATTGAAACCTCCATCCTTCTAATTATAACTATAGATCAAAATAATTTTTAAAATAAATAAATAAATTTAATTTTCAACGCGCAACGCTTGAGTCAATGTCTAGTTTATTCCTAATATCACTATAATTTATTTTGCATATAATTCTTTGTATGGTTATTGCAACACAAAAAGAAATTATTGAATGGTAAAAAAAATTAAAAAGGAAATGATACTTGTTTTTTTTCCTTCAATTTTTCACCATTCAACTATTTTATGCAATGCAATCTATTGCCTCTATGAAATCCATAAGAAATTTCTAACACATCAATCTATAAGAAATTCTCTTCCAAAATTGTCAGAATCGAATTTTTATCTTGACTCCATTTATCTACGTAAAATCAAAACGTAAAATCGTAGAATTTATCTTATATTAAAGTAATATTAAATTTATATACATGATATATATTTATGTTTATATAATATTATAAATGCATCAATAATTTAAAACTTTAACTTAATTATAAATTAAAATAAACTAAATTACTATAATAAAGTGTAATATTCATAAATTCATATCAAAGTACATAAATTACCCACTAAACCATAAAAAGTAACATTAAAAAGATTATCTAAAAAACAAGTTTCTTTAGTTCAAAAGAACAAGTGTTTTTATCTTCATCTTTACCTTAATCGAAAGTTCAATCCTTTTACAATATCATCCTCATCAATGTCTTTATCTTCAACTTGATTAAATTCATCTCAAGATCATAAAAGTTCTTCAATATTAGAATCAAAGACAAAATTATTTGAAGTTGGAGTTGGAGAATTGTTTTAACCATCAATCATATAACTAAATATTTATTTTATTTATCTAACCATTTTTATTTTATATCATAAACAAATGCATGCAATATCCAATTTTATTTTTTTCCAAGATTCAACGAAACAAAGGTTTAGCATTTGATCTTCACTCACAGTGATGATGATGAATCTGATTCAAAATTTATTATACATCTCTATATTTTCCACAGTTTGACTAGTTAATTTAATTTAATATCCTAATCACCCTTACATTTTATATACTAAATTTAAACTCTTATGACAAAAATCATGGATTAATATATTGGTGAAAATTTGAGTATTGAAAATGTATTTTTTATATAATTTTAAATTTGAATTTTATTAGGTGCTGA